GACTTAGCTTGGAGTATTCCCTTTCAGCATACTAGGGTCCTTGAACTCGCGTTGTAGCGAGCTCGTTCCGTGGCGAGCTGTAATGTAGCGAGCTGACCTGCAAGGACTTTAATGAGCTCGTTACTCAGTTGTAGCCAGGCTGTCATGCTGAGCTATTGCTTAAGTTGAGCCACATCCACGTGTCGCCTTCTTAGGAGGTCGAGTCAAATCACCCTCCATCAATTAGTATTTTATAAAATAATGGAATAAATAATTTACCAAATCTACATTTATATCAAAAGATTATTTGGATCTCAAGAAATTAATACAAATAAAATATTAATAATAGAATAATAAATTTTAGTACTTAAAGATTATTTGGATCTTAAATATTATATATATAATTATTAATTTACACTAAATAACAACATACTTATTATTTACAAAAATAAAAATATCTATACAATATTCAAGAATATAATATTAAATTGAAGCTATCAAACCTATTAATCTACATTTATATCAAAAAATATTTTTTTTTAATTTTAAAAATTATAAAAATAAAAGTATTTATAATGGAATATTAATTTTAGTAATTAAAAATTATGAATTTGCATATGAAATTTATCTTAGAAATTTTAATAGATTTTATATATTTTAGTTTACATTTGAGAATTTAATAATTGGTTGACATTTTTGTTAATGTAAAAAAATAAAAATAATTGATATGATAATTAAAATATAATAGGTGCATATGTATTGTGTTTTGTACTTTTGGTTGATGCATTATCAATAAAATTGTATAAAATCTATGTATTCTAATTCTGATATATATTTTCATATACACCACCAAAACATACATTTTCTATATATATATATATATATATATACATTATTTATAGACATTTAATTTTAAATATAGTATTATTAATACATTTATAAAATTTATATATGCTTCCTTAGCATATCAAAGTATTTTCGGATTTTTCACCCGTACCCATGCTTTTCTAAAATGTATCTTTATCTGTATTCATATGCAATTTATCTGATACGATACTGATACTTTAATCATTGGTTGTTTGATCTCATGGTAAATGGAAATAACTATTGCTAATCGGATCAAATTTAAGAACACATTTGAATTGTGTTGAAGAAAGTAAGTTTGTAAAGCCATTCCCCATTGAAGATGTCCTCTTGTGTGACGGATTATCTATCTATCTTCAAATCTGCAAAATTCAAATAGAATTTGAGGCTTCTTATGTGTGTACGGAATGCCTCTTTTAATTAAAAGTACTTAAAACTACCAAGAATATCAATGCAAAAAGACACCTTGCATGGGGCACGCTAAAAGATTATAGACCTACTTGGGGGCATAAGATAGCCTTATTTCTTAGGCCAAATGGACTATAGTGCACAATGGGGAATTCGCATGGGCGCCCCATAGAGAGTGCCCCACTGCACAATCTAATTGTTAGCAGGGATTCTAAATTTTAATATCTAAACATTAAAACTCGCTAATGTATAATGTTTCTGTGGATTCAAAAGCCGATGAGGTATGATATGTAGTGATATTTTAAACCTAGAGTTGACTTCAACCAGTCTAACTTGCACTCTTTATTAGAGAGAAGGTTGGGAATTCACAAATCAAAGGTAAAATATGGGTTGGCTTTGGTTATCCTGGCTGACTTGAGCGTCATGGCCAATCTGAAAACACCATGGTGGTGTTTGGAATGGCAATGTTGGATTTCAGTCTTAATTCATGTAGAAGGAGCAATCCGACTTTAACTTTTTTTTGGAGGTAAATTTTCAATTGCATCACTTGAGTACCCTAAGCTTTCACAAATTGGTTATGTAGAAGGAACAATCCTGAATTTTCAATTACATATTTATTTATTTATAAATATGTTATTTACATTGCATTTTTGTAAATTTGTTATATTATTTGTTTTTTATAAAAGCATTTATATATATGATGAAAATAGTTGGAAAGATACTTATATTTTTTGTTTTCTTTATTTAAATTGTTATATTTATTTTTTAATTATTTATTAATTTTTTAAAATTAAATTGGTTTAGATCATATCCAAATATCCAACTTCCACATTGGATTCAAATTCAAATCAATGTTTGTGAGCTCCAATTATATCTTCAGATCGGATTGAATATGTTGTTCATAGTATTGGATCGGATTCAAATATACCCTATTTCTAATTTGATCCAATTCGTTTGCATCTCTATTACTACTACCACCAGGGCTAGGGGTGGATTACTTGGTTGTATATAGACCTGTTCATGGGTCGGATAGCCCAATGGCCCGGCCCGCACCCCGGTTGGGCTTGGTTATGTAATTAGGCTCGTGGGCCTGACCTCGGGCCTAACACAGTAAGCCCGACTATGTTTCGGGTTGGGCTCGGGATTTGTCAAAAAAGCCCGGCTCGACTCAACATTATATATTTTATAAAATATATAATATGTATTTTATATATTATATAAAATATATAAATAATATGATATTTATAATTTAATATATACATTTTGTATTCTTTTCTTTATAATTTCTCTCTCTCTCTCTCTATTCAGCCACTTCAGCAATAGTAATAGTATGGGCTAAATTTTGTGCTTGGGCCCAAGCCCGGGCTTTGGGCTTTTTATGAGGGCCGGGCTCGAACCCAAGTTGTAGGCCCCATGGTCGGGCTCGGGCTCGGGCCTTAGAAAAATCTGTTAATACAGAGTGAAAGCCCGACCTGGCCCATGAACATGTCTAGTTGTATAGCCCCTTGAAGACAAACAAATAAAAAATAAATCCTAAGGGCATTCTTGTTTCCTATTTTACGGGAAGCAACAGTAGCATTGGCATTGTTCTTTGTTGTAAGAAGTGGGAGTCATTTTGCTCTAGAATGGACCCACAAATATGTATAGGGGGAGGAATCAATTTACCTAGTACACTAGGGGTGAGCATTCGGCTTATTTGGTTAAAACCCGACCGAATAAACCGAAAATTTTAAAACTGAACCGAAACCGAATTATAATAAAACCGAAATAACTGAACCAAAAATTTTAGTTTGGTTTTGGTTATTTCAGTTAAAACCCGAATTTAATTAATATATATAATATTATATATTATAACCTATAATATATATTATGAAATTTAATTTCATTATAATACATTATATATAATATAATTTCATTATAATACATTATATATAATATACATGAATATGGACTCATCCCATTGACACGATGGGACTCATTGCGGAAAAAATATGTACACTAATCTATAAAAAATATAAAAAAGGGAAATTGTCTAAAATTCATAATGACTTTTCAGCATTTCTCTTAAAAGACATCATGGCCTTCATCATAAATACAATTTTTATAACCAAATTACCCCCAAATGGCTAGCTAGGGGTGTTAATGATATTCGAAAATCCAATTTCGGATTCGAGATTCGATATTGATATAATTGAATCAAATTTAAACAATTCGAATATTTAATCAGTCGAATTCGAATACATCCTCATCCAATTGGATAAATATCTTTTGAGTTTGACCAATTATTTAATTGTTATATATAATATATAAAATACTTATATTTTATATAATATATATAATAATAAAATTATATAAATAATTTATATATTTATATATTTTATATAAATAAAATATTTATTTTATATATTTACTAATTACCTAAAATAATTAATTGTTCAAATTCAAATCGAATTCGAATATTAATAATGCAGAAAGATAGAGAGGACATCCGACTCACTGCCCTGATTTGGGAGGTCCGGCCAAGAAGATCATCGGAGGTTTCTATCTCTGGCTTCCCCCTCCTCTGCCTCCTTCTCTTCATATTCTCGGGCGATTGCTTTTTCGATTTTTTTCCTGTGAATGATTTCGAATCACTTCAATGGCAGACAAGAACATAGGAGACCAAACCTCGATGCTTCGTAGGAAGTACGAACTGGGTCGATTGCCGGGCAATGGAACCTTCGCCAAGGTCTACCATGCCAGAAACTTGTAGGACGAGAGAAAGAGAAAGAGAGAACAGCAGTGGTAGCTGGGGCGGTGCAGATTGAGAGAGAGAGATGAGAGAAAGGGAGGGATGACGGTATTAGCCGGCGCTGCTCAATGATGATGGCAGATTGTGGTGGCAGTTTGATGGTAAACGGGTATTACTTCCGCCTTGACTCCATTTCACTTACCTAGTTCACTAATCCATCAAAATCTACTATGCATCTTCTTCCTCTCGGCACTGAAACAGAGGCGGCGGCAACCTCCCGCAATCTCTTATCCCCTTTCTCTGGCCACTTTTCTTTCCTCACTCTCTCTCTCCTCGACCCCATTATTCTCTCCCCTTCATTCTCTCTTTCCCATTTCATCACCGCCGCTGCAACAGATCTAAACCCAACAATAACTCTACCCTCCGGTCCCTTTCTTTCTTTTTCTTCCCTCTCTCTCTCCTTCTCTCTGCCTCACTTCTCTCTCTACCCCTTTCCATACGTTATCCCCGATCACCCCTCAGGCATCTTTCCCGCTGCTGCAACTTGTTGCTGCAGTGTATTCAGACATAACCAACAGCAGCAGGACCGCTTCCTCTTCATTTCATCTCTACTCTTACTGTTAACACATCAACCTCGTCAGCTCCATCACCTCTCCAGTCATTCACCGAACCCCCCTGCTCCTTGTAACTCTCACCGCTCGAACAGAGTTGATCATGCCAGAAGACATTGGAGTCTCTGTTCTCAGCCGATTGGTAAATTCCAGATCTCGAAGTTTTCTTGACTTCTCTCTACTGATGGTATCCCACTACAAGGAGTAATTAGAGCTTGGGTAGCTGTCGGAGCCGGTGGTGAAGTAAAGAAAGATGGAGGAGATATTCTAGAGTACAAACAGTTCTGTAGTAAAGAGCTCCGATCGGCACTTAAAGGACATCGCCGGCGGAGAATCCGCCGCCTGGCAGCCAAGCAGAGATGAGAGGGAGGGAGTTTAGGATTAATCAATGTTGTTATTAATCAAAATTAGGTAAAAGAATAGAATCTTTGTATTAATCAAAAAAATATTCTGAAATATTAGAAAGGGTAAATTACAAAGACCCTGACCGTGAGATAAAGACTCACTTCCGTTAGTTTTTCGTTGAAATCCGTCGTTTTAATCCCCATACCACTTTTGTAATAAATATTCTAACAATTGAGAGAAAAGTACTATTCATCTTCCTCGACCTCACATACATAAACAACAGCGACGGTTGACTCTGAGTTAAAAGTGTTGATAAAAACTAAAAATAACTCAGAGAATACAGACAAAGAGAGGGGTTTACACAATTACACTTGCATGTTTTTGTATTTCTTTTCTATATATAAAATCCTACAACCAAACTTACTAGTTACAGTCTTGAAAGATGGTGTCGCCGGCTATAGAATTTTTGGGCAAAAAGAAAAGGGTTGTGCTGTTTCGACACAGACGAGTCGGAGCCATTGGCAGTCGAGTTGCCATCGTCACCGTATCTGAGCCTATCTTGTCTAAGCGAGAGGATCAGCTCCGGCGAAACCTCAGAAGTTTGTAGTCGAGCTGCCATCGTCATGTGAGTTAAAGTTGATGGCACGCACCCACGTGGGTCCATGTTGAGTAAGGTAGGGAAATAGTTTTCCTCGGGGTAACACGTGTTCCACTACACGCATGGCAGCTTGAACTTAGACCAGAGATGCCTGACCTTCACCACAACCATAAGCCAAGCGTGCCAGCGTGTCAAGATGAAGAACTACGATCCTATACGAAAACTTTCGAATGGTACTTCGGGGAGCATCGCGTCCGGTCCACGCGCAGCGTATCGGTCGAAGCTGCCCGGTTCGTCTTTGAGGATCTCGATGAAGCTCTTATCGGATCCAATGAGGGTTCTGTATGTGAAGCCAAAGGAACGGAGGGGGAGAGGAGAGAGAACATGGCGTTGGAGGGGTCGTCTAGAAGGGCGTGAGTAAGGAGGCGACGAGCAGCGGAGACAAGAGATGGGGTAAACGGTTGGGTGGGTTTGGAGGAGATGGTGCGCCCAAAGAAGACGCCGGAGAATGGTTGGTCGTAGTGAGAAGATGGGTTGGCGTGGATGTAGATGTTGAAGAGCTTCGTTCTATTGTTCTGTTGTTGGGTTTGATTTGGAAGGAAGAAGCACTCCCATAGTGGAGCAAATGGGAGATCCGAAGTAGTCAGGAACATAAACGCTAATTTCTTTGTTGCTCCAGTGGGTGATGGGTTTCGATTTACTCGGCCGGCGATGCGGAACGGAGATTCGTCGTCTTCTGGAATAACTGCTGGTGGCGGCTGCAGTCTTCTGACAATTTTGCTTTTGATTCCGCTATTCTTGCTTTGCTCAATGTTGTTTATGGATGGTGGTGGTGGTGGCGCCGGTGTCATCTGTGCTGCTGCTGCTAGTGGGGCTGGTAACTGTGAAGATGAATGCAAGAGGTAGGCAGAGAAGAATAGCGCAAAAAAGACAAAAAGGGTTCGGAGATAGCATATTTTCTTATGCTTGGCTGGAACCCGTCACTAAGTCACTACCGTCTGTAAACTAGAGAGAGAGAGAAAGTGAGAGTGAGAGACAAGAAAGGGGGTGGGTGTTGGGTAAAGTGGGGTTTCGTGGATAATGAATTGCTTTTCCAATCGCGCCTTTTTGGTGGAGGCCACTTTACGGCCGCTGTTGATCGTGTATCTATTGAGGGAAAGATGAACAGTGTTTTTATCTTAATTGTCCGAATAGTTATTGTAAGGATAATATAAGAATTAAAAAAATATTGCAAATTCTAATAGAAAACTAATCGAAGGGAGTTTTGTTGCAAAACAAAGTACAGGAGTCTGTCACATACCCCATAGTACAAGGGTCTTTGTAATTAGAAAATGGGTTGAACATAATAAAGGGTAAATGGTACTCTACTAATACCCGTGTATATTTTAGGGCAAGTGATATGGTTCTTTTTTTTTTTAATTTCTTAAACTATTAGTTTAGTTAATTAATTAAGTGTACTTTTATTGTTTGAAAATTAACTAACATTATTCCTACTGTTTTTGATAATTAAATTCCGTCATAAATCATTCAGATGTATCATCATATGACCGTTGTAACTTTCAAAAATATCAAAATTACCTTTTTATGTTTGAAAATGCCCTTTTCATTTCGGTTCTCCAGAGACACTTCCCTGTCTCTCTCACATGTACTTTGTCTTTCTCTCCCTCGTTCTCTATTTTCTCCTTACCCTTAGTTATGCACCTTCGAACCAACAACTTACCGTTCTTTATAACACACCTCCGACTTTGAAGAATCTTAAAATGGAATAAACAGATTAACATTCAGCAAGAAAGGCATAATATTCATAAATTGGAAAGCAAAGACAGGACCGAATTAGTGGCAAAATCTCAACCTAAATCAACAGGGGAGAAACCAATTCATAGAGAAAAGAAAAAAAGACCAATAATGCAATTCTCTAAGCGGCTAATTAGATCAATATGACAATAGCAATACCAAAAAAATGATGCCAAGATAGATATGCGTCAAAAGTTTCAAGAGAACTGATTCAATGGAGGCCTCATCACCGGTTTGGAGCCTAATACAAAATAAACTATAGTGGAGCCTACCTGATTGGATTTCGGCCTTAATATGATCAAAATTGTAGAGAGCTAGATTTTTGTTTACCTATAGTGCAATGGGAAGCTTGCAACCGAATGAGACATTGAGCTAGATGTCCGGTGTAGATTTCGTTTAAACTGAGAAAACACTGGAACGTTCAAACTACCGCTGCAAATGACGGAACAAGGGAGGGAAAGCGAGAAGAGAAAAAAAAAAGAAATAACCTGGGGAGAGATTGGGGAGGTAAGAGGTTACCACCAGGTTCAAATTGGAGAGAGAGAGAGAGGAGCAGGAGATGAAAGGGGTTTGTTGTCGCCTCTGTTCTCGCGGTCATTTGATGGGTCGAAGATGATGAACAATGAAGAATCTGGTTTTGTCGGTGAAGTAGGGTTAACTTTTTTTTTTCATTCAAACTAAATCACATCACCGCTGCAACTTTGGGAGGCAGTAGTTCTCCTTTCTCGGACACAAGTGGCTGAGACTAATTCGGAAACCCTAAAAAAAGAACAGAGGAGCTTCAAATTTGATTTAAGGGCAAAATGGAAATTTCAGCCCTTTCGTCAATATTTTAACAGTAATGGTGATTTTCTGAAATAATTGGAGTAGCATTAAACAATATTCAAACAAGAGAGGTATACTTAGTCAATTAGCTAAACCATAAGGATAGTTTAAGAAATTTACCCGTTTTTTAGGCAAAAGAGTGATGATTAAATTATATTGTGAATAAAGTTGTGTAAGTAGCATGTCCATAGTAGAGTGGCTTTGATATTTAAAAGCATAATATGCTAAAAGATAAGCTAAAGTGTTCTTAGTTCTAGATGTGTAAATGAATTTTGAATCCCTAAACTTTTGGAGATGCAAGATCCGCCCAAAATGTACTTGATTGATCCATGTACGTTCCATTACTAAAAGGTTTAACTTCTTTACTATTACTTCGGCATCCAAGAAAACTTGCACTGATTGGCATTGCAATGCTATAGCAGCTTCTAAGCCCTTGATGATTGCACGAAGCTCTACGTCATAACTATCAATGGCTCTGCAGGTTGACCCTTGGGCTGAAATGATCTGCCTATCATTAGATTTCTTGATGATAAAACCAATTCCTGTGTTGTATGTGTGTTGATCATAAGATCCATCAGTGAATACTAGATAATGGTTCTTAGTTATTGGGCTTAGGGGCAATGCATTTAATTTGTCCTAACAGAGAGTGAGACATGAATCAACAATTATTTCATTTGCTTTGTCCACCAAAGAGACGGGGTTCACATCCTTGTTTAGATGGGATGTCTTGTTGTGTGCCTCCCATATCATATATAGAAGTACTTGAAATTTGGACAGAAAGCATAATCTGATATTTGCATTAAAAGATTGCCCAAGTGACTAAAGCCAATCCGAAATAAGTTGTTGTAGGTGTTCACCATTCACTGTACTGGGGTTTATACCAAGTTGGGCTTGACACCAAACAATTCTTGCAAAGTCACATCTGAAAATAGATGTGAAAAGCTTTTCTATTCATGATTGCAAAAAATGCATGATACCTCTGCATTTTTATTCCATGGTCTCAACTTACTTCTTGTGGGAATTCCTCCCCATAGAGCCTTCCATGCAAACACTTGATATCTAAAGGGCACTTTAGTTTGCCAGATTGATGACCATTTAAAGGAGGAGGCAGAGGAAGATGGATTTTGATTGAGAAAAGTCTGGTATGCATATTTCACAATATAAGTGCCCAATTTATTTATCTTCCAAATTAGCTTGCCAACACTTGTGGATGGTGTTATTTGTATAATGTGCTCAATTGAATCCTGGGTAAATGAATTTTGATGTAGAGAAAGATTCCATGTTCCATTGGGATTAAGAAAATGACTTACTTTGATATTACTTGTAACCCGTGGATGCAAGGTGGAAGGAATGACTCCTTTGATATTATTCGTGACATGGGTTCGTTGGATGTTTTGAAAAGTTATGGTGAATTCAATTAAATGAGTTTAGAGAAATGCTGATAGGTCATTGTAAGTTTTAGACAAATTCCTTAATGATTTGTTTGGTTTCTAAGAAAATTAGTTTGGGAAAGGAAAGAATGAGAAGGGATGGGATGAGAAATAGTTCTTGTATTTGGTTTGTTAGATACGCCTAGAAGGTTATGATGATGTTCGTTCAAAAACTCTTTCAATGTTTCAAGAGCATGAGAACTCAAAATTAGCGATAAAGAACACAGAATCTGCCTTCGATCTACAAAACATGGTGGAGAAAACATTTAGAGCTACAAGAAAACAAGTATATTAGTAGATCTAGAAGGGAACCCCCTCTACATGCATTAGACACCGCTGGAATCAATGGCATCCAAAACAGGGGCAACCTGATATCGTCGGTGCCCTAAAACCGCAACAAAAAGTCGAAAAGCAAAGAAAAAAGAGGGATTGGGAGAGAACACCAAGGCCACCTTTACCGGTGTAGACGAAACCCCATCTAAATGCATTAGACACCGTCATAATCAATGGCATCCAAAACAGGGGCAACTTGATATTGTCGATGCCCTAAAATTGCGACAAAAAGCAAAGGTAAAAAGAGGGATTGAGAGAGAACACCAAGGCCGCCTTTACCGGTACGGATGAAACCCCATTTAAAGGAAATGTTGTCGGAACCTAAAACTACCAAGGCCACCATTTGCCCATTTCTTCTTAGTGGCATGAGGAGACCAATGACACCAAAAAAATGAATAAAAATAGTCACCAAACGTCAATGGTTATGGACCAAGTCTTACCTTGGCCGGATATTGCCGGGAATATCATCGAAGACTTGATTGTTGTAGACACAAGGAGGCAGTGATAGCCAAATAGGGAGCTTCAATAGAAAGGCTCGATATTTTTCCCATGATTTTCTCTTTCTCATCGAGGTCACACCATTTTAGCGCGACCTCGCGTCCTTGATTTTGGGAACTGGCATCATGCGATTTCCTATCCCATCTTGGCGAACAAACACACGAAAATGGGAATATTTCCATTTTCCCATTCCAGTTGCATAAACCAAACATACCATAAAAAAATACTGCACATTCTCAAAAGTTGGTGGGATCTTCTTCTAAATGGGCCCGTTGGCAGTTGGCCCACTCTAATCTCTACTCTTTATGTTTTATACTTCTTACTTCGTATTTTGGGGAAATTTCTTAAATTACCTTTAAGTTTTAGTATATTATTTGTATTGATTGACACATGTATTATTGACCACTCCACTAGCGGACGATACATGGCACCTCCTAGGGTTGTCATCATCTAAGCCTTCTATAGGAGCACCATTGTCCTTTCTCACCATCATCAATGATCAAAGTTAGAAACCGAACCAGCACGGGAAGGCATTTTTCACTGTGCAATGCTACAGGATCAAGGGTACTGACATTATTTTCTCCTTTATAAGAAAGATCATATCTCATGTAACATTTCAATGCTCCATGTCTAGGCTTATTACATAGTTGACAGGCAATGGGATTACCTCATCCTTTTCCTTTACCTTTCCTAAAGGACTGATTACTAGACCCCTTCCTCCGCTACAACCATAAATTCCTCTATTTTGATTTGGAGGAAATTGTGAAAACTAAGAACCACTATTATTATTTTTACTATTATTTGTAGTAACACTAGCATTAGGAGTTTCACTAGAGATATTATGCTAAAGAAGTCATGATTCATGACTAAGAAGCATTCTTAGAACATCATTGATGTTTAGATGATCTGCATAAGCTCTATTTGTTATGGTAGTGATAAGAGACTCCTACTCATTGCCTAAGCTAGAGATAACATATAGATCTAAATCCTCCCTTGGTATTGGTTCAAAAACTGCAGCTAGGTTATTTGCAATTGTTTTAGCTTTCTAAACCTGATAGATCACCTTTCTTTAGATTTTGGAGTTAAAGCCTAAGTTGCAATGCCATAGCTAGGGCGTGAATGTGAAGAAAATGATCTCTTTAGGGCACTCCAAACTTTAGACGCAATAGATAGTCCTACAACTTGGGCTAACACAATTGTAAGTAAACTCTTTTGTTATAATCTTCTAACAAAGAGGCATAATGAAGATCTTAGTTACCAAAAAAAAAGGAGGCATAAAAATGTCCAAAATACCCATATAATTACTTTTGATCAAAGTATTTATTTTCTAAATTTTCTCTTTATATCAATGGCTACCCTAAACCCTTCTATTTCTTTTTCAAACTTGTCAAATTTTCCCTTTATATCAATTGCTCAAAGTTAAAGCTACAACTTTAAAATCTTATTTTTTTGTTGTTCATAAGATTTGTGTTATTATTATTATTATTATTATTATTATTGTAAAAACTAACTTCAGTAATAATTGTATGGGTATTTTGGACACTTTTGTACCTCTTGTTATAGGATTCTAATAGAGGGTATATTTGTAGCTATGTCAGGAAGTTCAAGCATGGTGATTGCAATTACAAAACTTCAGGGGAGACTTTAATAATTTACTCTTATTAAATTATTATATGTACTTGTTCTAACACGGATATTTTTAAGGGAAAAGAAGACCATGACATTACTAAAGCTTTCATCATTGAGGGGGATTCAAAGTTAGTGATAGATTGTCTAGGGGCCGATTGAGATGTTGCGCTATAGAGCATAAAAGCTATGTCGAGGAATGTTACTCTTTATGTGAGATTGGAATTTAAATGTCCAATACTTTCATACTTTAGAGAAGTGAACCGAGTTGTTGACTGTATGGCAAACGTTGGTCATGGAGGAAATAATAATACTATAAAGACGTATTAGAAAAGCATGCAATTTTATACTTTTTTTAGTGTTTTTTATTTTCAAAATTTGGTCTTTGGGGAGGTTTTCATACATATTTTTTTTTTATTAAAAAAGAAGGGTCCTGAAACACCTATAAACAAATATATAAAGACTACGTTATAATACACCTCTTATTGGATGTATCATATCGAAATTCCGAGCCATGTATTCACTAGAGTTTTTATCAATCAAAGCGCCTAGTGAATTGTGGTGAATACCACTGGATTGGTGACCACTTTTATGACACTAGTTGATTGCTCGCAAGTTTTTTTTTCCTCGGTATTATGTCTTTCCTAGTTTTTGAACCCTTTTTTAATCAAACTAATAGCCCCACTTTTGCCACATGTATTGAATCTAACCTACCACATTTTCCCCACGTGGATGGATAATGTGGCCTATTTTTGGTCCTTTCGAAGGTGATGTTTGACATCAATGATGATTTCTCCTTGCCGATTATCTAGAAAATCGGTGATTTCTGGAATCAGTGATATTTGAAAAATTATAAAAAATTATTGTTTAGTATTATTTATGCCATATAAGCTGATTTTTGAGAAATCGGTCTTAAATCTGTTTGGTATTGATTTTTAAGGGCTGATTATTTTTGTATTTAAATTCAGGAAATCATAAAAAAAGATGATCCTTAATTCTTGGCTGTTTGGTACTGATTATTTTTGTATTAAAAGGACTGATTCTAATAATTTATTTTTGGCCGATTTCCCATAAACCAGCATAAATCAATCAACAAAAAATCACTAATTTTTCAAATTCTGATGCCAAACATCACCGAAGTCTGAAACCTACGCTACGCCAACTCCAAAATCCAAATATGCCCATTCCATAACTGTTAATCCCGGTGGTCCTCCGTCCTCTACAAACTCCAAAATCCAAAAAATCACCAGGACCAGGTCGATACTTTCTACTGTATTATTACCGTTGCTTGTCACGTGTGAGGGCCCCACCAATTGCGTGGTCCAGAGTCCAGACTCCAGGGTTATAACCGAGAGAACCGGTGGACTACGTTTCCTTCTCCCATCCTCCCTGGTCTCCTCCAGAGAACATATTGACTCAAAAAATACTCCACAATACCAGAGCCAGAGGTCCAGTCCAGCTACTCCAGCACTGCAGTGAGGCTTCAAGCTTCAAACCTTCAGAAGTCAGAACCCATCCAATTCTTCTTGGTTCTTTCTATCACGAAACCAAAATAAAGGGGAATTTTGTGGGCCCCAAAATCCCAAACGAGGGCGGAGGGTCCCATCACCAATTCACCATGCAGACAGTAGCTTCATTGCCAGTCCGATCTTCCATCCCAAAAAAACTAAAACCCGCGGAAACGAGGGGTTTGGATTTGGAGAGAGAGAGAAACTAAATCTAAACAAAACCAAACAAGCAAAAACAGGAGAGAGAAAGACGAACAAAGATGACTCCAAGGATCCGAAGACTTATAATAAAACTTTTGGATCTTTTGTTATTTTTTTCTAAATCTCATCGTCAAATTTTTTTTTTTTTTACAACAACAACATTACAACGCGTTACGTTTTTTTGATAGAAAGAAAAGAAAACAAAAAAAGAAAAAAAAAAAGAAAAGATGGAAGCGAGAGAGACTGTTCATTGGTTCTCGACATCTTTAATTGTTCTTACAATCTCATGTTTTCTTGTTTTCTCGTTTTTCTTACGATCTCTTAATAATATTGTTATTATTAGAAGTATTTCTGTTTATCACAACTACACTACTACTCTTCCAAAACAACTCAACTATTACTCCATGTTACTAATTGTTATTATTTTTATTCTTCAAATCTCACCGCACATCACCTCCCACCTTTTTTCTTCGCTATCACGACTCAGAACAATTCGCATTCGGCATTCCCTTTTCGTCAAAACCAATAATATCAATATTATTAATTCTATGTCAAAGCCGATTCCCAAATTGCTCTCTCGTTTATCTTCTCTCTGGTCTTACGAAACCCTAGTCTGTTCTTCCATTCTAGGGTTTGCAGCGGTTTCTTGATCTCTTTTGTTCTCTGGCATTCCTGATTTTGTTCGTTAATGGAGGCTGCTTCAGAAGGGGAGAAGAAGAAGCCTCCTGAGGGAGGGGGTAGTGGAGAAGGAGGCGAGCAGAAGCCGAAGCGCAAAATGAAGACTGCTTCTCAATTGGAGCTTCTAGAGAAGACCTACGCTGGTTTGTGTGGAATTTTTCGTTTTTCGTTTTATTTGGGTTTTGATTTGTTAGGGTTTTGATTTATTGGGTTTGAATGTGAACCAGTGGAGGCGTATCCGTCGGAGTCTCTGCGAGCAGAGCTATCAGCGAAGCTGGGGCTGACGGATCGGCAGTTGCAGATGTGGTTTTGTCATAGGAGGTTGAAGGATAGGAAGGTTGCGCCGGTGAAGAGACAGAGGAAGGATACGCCGGTTTCTGGGGGTGGAGATGACATGGTGGTTGGTGGTGAGCTGGGTAATGAGCCTGGGTCGGGGCCGGGTTCGGGGTCCAGTCCGTTTGGGCAGGGTGAGCCGAGAAAGGTGGTTGCTCGAGCGCCATCCATTGTGCCGATAATTGGAGCTGATATGCCAATGATGAAGAGGTACTATGAGCCACAACAGTCCATATTGGAGCTACGTGCTATTGCTTTTGTGGAAGCTCAGCTGGGGGAGCCGTTGAGGGAAGACGGACCGATTCTTGGCATGGAGTTTGATCCATTGCCACCTGATGCATTCGGTGCGCCTTTAGGTACCATTTCATCAATCATCACTAGTTTTCTCTTCTCTGAAGTTTTGGTTCATGTTATTGTTTGGACTTGCTTCAAGCGATTAATTTTTACGTGAATTGGTAAGGGCATTGGTATCGCCTTGTGTACAGCATATGATGTTCCATTGCCAGCACTAAAGGGATTAATATGCTCATATGATCGTCTATTATTCTATTTATGCTGTCATTTGCTAGACTCCCAGCCAAAAATTCCTCAACCGTGATTAATGAATCAAGGTGGTGCAAGAAACATACTTTCTTTATATTGGCAATGGATCCATGATAGCCTCCATGACCCGAAGAACAAAGTAATGGCCATTTCATTTTTATACGTAAACTCAACCAACAATCATGTTTCTTCTTAAAGTTCTGGAGATTCAGAAAATGATCACTAACTTGAACTGAAGTTGTCAAGTAATAGAATGGAAGCCTGACATGGTAGAATTATCTTAAAAATGCTGCCTCAAATTCGAGAAATTAAAGCACCTAGATTAGCAGTGGCTCCTCTAGTTCTGGTTGGTTAATTCCTGCAAATCCTATATAAAACAAAAGAAACTTAAAATGTTACAACAGTCTCAACTCCTTGTTCACATGATACTAATCCTTAACCAAATACAAGTAATGTGACCTTCATCTGTCTTTACTTGTAAAGCATTAGGCTATTACCCAATGTTGGTCCCAGCAATCTGGGGTTTTGGGAGGGATAGACTGGATATGGAGTTATGGACCTAACCTTTGGCCTTTTTTTTGCACAAAGTGGCCATTCTTAGATTAGGACCCAAATTTCTCAGACTTGTCAGCTCCAGATTTTACCTTTACTACACCAAGCAATTGCCTCTGCCAATACATGTAAAGCATGGTAACTAAATTCTCTGTGCAATTGAAGGATGCTTAGTTAGTGGGTTGAATTCATTTCTTGGGTTTTTTGGGCCACGCCACATGAGCAAAAACAGGGAAATCATTTCCTAATGCATTTTGCATTTCTTACTATAAAAAATTTGAAAAAGTCTGTGATAGCTTTTGAAAATTGAACCATAGTTTTGTCTCACAAAATGCTGAAGTGGTATAAATAATTATGCAAAAAAGGGGTTTAATACCTATAGTTTTGTTCTGGTGCGTTTAGCTTTAAGGGAACAAATGGGTTTTTGAAAACAAGTACTACACATGGCAAGAGGTGTTGAGAATGATCAAAGGAAAATTGTTATCCTGGCTCGCAGTTCATGAAGAATTCCAAGGACTGCCATGCACAAGGACAACCTGTTTTTTTTGTCAACACAGAAAGTTTGTACCTATTGTATAGCTCCATGTACAGTTCCTTGATTTACATGGCTTAAGCATAACACTTTTTTCTCTTTTGCTTTAATACAATACCTTTTAAAAAATCATTCAAAAACTGGGGACTCACTAAATGTTACCAAGCTTCTATAGGAGTTTCTTTTTGTTGTACAAAATACTCATTGTTGGAAAGAGGTAGAGCCCTTTTTTCATCAATCAACTAGAGCTCAATTATCTCAAACCTAAATGAATCACTAGCCAAATTTGATAACTGCTGAAATAGGAGCTGAAGAAATTCCAATTTAAAGAATTGCCATTTAGCATTTCAGCAAATTCATTACCTACTTAATTGCTGAATGATGAAGCACATGCAATGAGGTGATTATTTTACCCCCAAAAGTCTTATAGAGTACTGTTATGGTCACACCATCCGGCAGCGCACTGTGGCGCAGTCATAGGCAGCAGCACGCACAGCAGCAGGCACCGCCGCACAGCAGCATGCACTGCCGATAGCACGCAGCACGCACCGCCAGGCAGTAGCGCGCACCGCACGCACCGCGCACACGCCTGGCACTGCACGATAGCGACACCATGGCGCGCAGCACGCACCGCCAGGCAGCAGCGCGCACCGCATGCATTGCACGGCAGCACGCACCGTGCACACGCCTGGCAGCACGCACCGCG